ACTTCTTAAACTATTCTCTCGCCTCGGTACAATTTATTTATTGGTTTATGTATGTATATTGTCAATTGCTGATGCTATTCATTCCTTTTCTACCCCGTTTTAGTCCATTTCTGGGTCAATGAGAGCTGCCATTGCTCAAAGCACCAGTCCAGCTACTCTTTATGTATCATCCAAACCGTCATTAAGCCTTTGATTCTTATCTCTCTAATGAAACTGTCAAAAACAAAACATATTTAGGTTTTTGTGACCATTATTGCGAATCACTAAAACTTGCGTTGATTTGATGAATCCATGTTCTTTTAAAATATCAAATCTCATGTGGATCAACAATCACATCAGAGAATCCAGCAGATGGAGGCTGGGATTTTAGTCCGATGTGAATCAAAGTATTATTCTCTGCATATGCAGATTTGAAGTCTCATGCAGTGAATTATTGTGGGTTTTGTGGTTTCTCTGGAGTCAAGTCTAAACAAATGGATAGTTTCTGTGAAGTCCATAACGGTTCTGAGGTCTGTGTGACTGCAGGACTCTGGGTTATAACCACTATATATACACTATAGTGTAGCGTGAAGCCAGTGGAACTCCTAATGTCCCAATATATTTATGAATGGTTTATCACAAAGACCTGTTTCCACTTTAATAATAAAAACAGAGACATAAATGTGTATCTTTCCTTTTCCTTCTCGTAGCTGCACATGTCATTAATAGTAAAGTCTGAACGATGCTTCAAGGCCACAGCGAGACCCCGGCTGTCTGCTCATCTGATGTCTATCTGTCCCTCTCTGGCCCCATTCCTCTGCTCCCTTTGTTCTAGTCCCTTTCGTGTCTCTTCTACACCTCCCTCTCTCTGGTCTCTCTCTCCCTCGCTCGCTCGCTCGCTCGCTGCCTTGTCCTCTCTCGCTGAAATAATGAGAGTGTAGCAGGGAGCTGTGCAGTGACGGCCCGATCGATGATCCTTGCTCCAACAGGCAGAGACGGCAGAGGCAGGAGCATGGAGGGGGAGAGGGGGGAGAGGGGGAGAGAGAGGCAGAGGCAGGAGCATGGAGGGGGAGAGGGGGGAGAGGCAGAGGCAGGAGCATGGAGGGGGAGAGGCAGAGGCAGGAGCATGGAGGGGGGAGGGGGGAGGGGAGAGGGGAGGGAGGGGGAGAGAGAGGCAGAGGCAGGAGCATGGAGGGGGAGAGGGGGGAGAGGCAGAGGCAGGAGCATGGAGGGGGGAGGGGGGAGGGGAGAGGGGGAGAGAGAGGCAGAGAGAGGCAGAGGCAGGAGCATGGAGGGGGGGGAGGGGGAGAGGGGGAGAGAGAGGCAGGAGCATGGAGGGGGGGAGGGGGGGAGGGAGGGGGAGAGAGAGGCAGAGGCAGGAGCATGGAGGGGGGGAGGGGGGGAGGGAGGGGGAGAGAGAGGCAGAGGCAGGAGCATGGAGGGGGGAGGGGGAGAGAGAGGCAGAGGCAGGAGCATGGGGGGGGGGGGGGGGGGGGAGAGGGGGGGAGGGAGGGGGAGAGAGAGGCAGAGGCAGGAGCATGGAGGGGGGGGGAGGGGGGGAGAGGGGGGGGAGGGAGGGGGGAGAGAGAGGCAGGAGCATGGAGGGGGAGAGGGGGGAGAGGGGGAGAGAGAGGCAGAGGCAGGAGCATGGAGGGGGAGAGGGGGGAGAGAGGCAGAGGCAGGAGCATGGAGGGGGAGAGGCAGGAGCATGGAGGGGGGAGGGGGGAGGGGAGAGGGGAGGGAGGGGGAGAGAGAGGCAGAGGCAGGAGCATGGAGGGGGGGGGGGGGGGGGGGGGGGGGAGAGAGAGGCAGAGGCAGGATCATGGAGGGGGGGAGGGGGAGAGAGAGGCAGAGGCAGGAGCATGGAGGGGGGGAGGGGGGGAGGGAGGGGGAGAGAGAGGCAGAGGCAGGAGCATGGAGGGGGGAGGGGGAGAGAGAGGCAGAGGCAGGAGCATGGAGGGGGGGGGAGAGGGGGGGGAGGGAGGGGGAGAGAGAGGCAGGAGCATGGAGGGGGGGAGGGGGGAGGGAGGGGGAGAGAGAGGCAGAGGCAGGAGCATGGAGGGGGGGAGGGGGAGAGAGAGGCAGAGGCAGGAGCATGGAGGGGGGGGGAGGGAGGGGGAGAGAGAGGCAGAGGCAGGAGCATGGAGGGGGGGGGGGAGAGGGGAGGGAGGGGGAGAGAGAGGCAGGAGCATGGGGGGGAGGGAGGGGGAGAGAGAGGCAGAGGCAGGAGCATGGAGGGGAGGGAGGGGGAGAGAGAGGCAGGAGCATGGGGGGGAGGGAAGGGGGAGAGAGGCAGAGGCAGGAGCATGGAAGGGGGGGAGAGAGAGGCAGAGGCAGGAGTATGGAAGGGGGGGAGAGAGAGGCAGAGGCAGGAGCATGGAAGGGGGAGGAGGGGGGGAGATGCAGAGGCAGGAGCATGAAGGGGGGAGAGATAGAGAGGGGAGAAGGACAGCACAGACAGAAAGAGAGGAGGGGAGGAGAGAGAGAGATGGAGAGAAGCAGTGAGACAGAATGACAGCGAGGGAAAGGCAGAGGCAGGAACATGGAGGGGGGGAGAGAGAGGCAGAGAGATAGAGCGAGAGAGAGAGGCAGAGAGAGAGAGAGGCAGAGAGATAGAGCGAGAGAGAGAGGCAGAGAGAGAGAGAGGCAGAGAGATAGAGCGAGAGAGAGAGGCAGAGAGAGAGAGAGGCAGAGAGATAGAGCGAGAGAGAGAGGGAGAGAGAGAGCGAGAGAGAGAGGCAGAGAGAGAGAGAGGCAGAGAGAGAGAGAGAGAGAGAGGGAGAGAGAGAGCGAGAGAGAGAGGCAGAGAGAGAGAGAGGCAGAGAGAGAGAGAGAGGCAGAGAGAGAGAGAGGCAGAGAGAGAGAGAGGCAGAGAGAGAGAGCGAGAGAGAGAGAGGCAGAGAGAGAGGCAGAGAGAGAGAGAGGCAGAGAGAGAGGCAGAGAGAGAGAGCGAGAGAGAGAGGCAGAGAGAGAGAGAGAGAGGCAGAGAGAGAGAGAGGCAGAGAGAGAGAGAGAGGCAGAGAGAGAGAGAGGCAGAGAGAGAGAGAGGCAGAGAGAGAGAGCGAGAGAGAGAGAGGCAGAGAGAGAGGCAGAGAGAGAGAGAGGCAGAGAGAGAGGCAGAGAGAGAGAGAGGCAGAGAGAGAGAGCGAGAGAGAGAGAGGCAGAGAGAGAGGCAGAGAGAGAGAGAGGCAGAGAGAGAGGCAGAGAGAGAGAGCGAGAGAGAGAGAGGCAGAGAGAGAGGCAGAGAGAGAGAGAGGCAGAGAGAGAGAGCGAGAGAGAGAGAGGCAGAGAGAGAGAGAGGCAGAGAGAGAGAGAGGCAGAGAGATGGATGGACAGAGACAAAGAGAGGAGGGAGGAGAGAGAGATGAGGAAAGGATACCCACAGAAGTCACACAGAAGAATAGTGCAGGGCTTTAGGTGCTTCATAGTTTAAGGGAAAGTCGGTCCATGGAATGAAAAGGACCATGTGATACAGTGTAAAGTACCATGTGATACAGTGTAAAGTACCATGTGATACAGTGTAAAGTACCATGTGATACAGTGTAAAGTACCATGTGATACAGTGTAAAGTACCATGTGATACAGTGTAAAGTACCATGTGATACAGTGTAAAGTACCATGTGATACAGTGTAAAGTACCATGTGATACAGTGTAAAGTACCATGTGATACAGTAAAGTACCAGTGATACAGTAAAGTACCAGTGATACAGTGTAAAGTACCAGTGATACAGTGTAAAGTACCATGTGATACAGTGTAAAGTACCAGTGATACAGTGTAAAGTACCATGTGATACAGTAAAGTACCAGTGATACAGTAAAGTACCAGTGATACAGTGTAAAGTACCAGTGATACAGTGTAAAGTACCATGTGATACAGTGTAAAGTACCATGTGATACAGTAAAGTACCATGTGATACAGTGTAAAGTACCATGTGATACAGTAAAGTACCAGTGATACAGTAAAGTACCAGTGATACAGTGGAAAGTACCAGTGATACAGTATAAAGTACCAGTGATACAGTAAAGTACCAGGGCTACAGTGTAAAGTACCAGTGATACAGTAAAGTACCAGTGATACAGTGTAAAGTACCAGTGATACAGTATAAAGTACCAGTGATACAGTATAAAGTACCAGTGATACAGTGTAAAGTACCAGTGATACAGTGTAAAGTACCATGTGATACAGTAAAGTACCAGTGATACAGTAAAGTACCAGTGATACAGTATAAAGTACCAGTGATGCAGTGTAAAGTACCAGTGATACAGTGGAAAGTACCAGTGATACAGTGGAAAGTACCAGTGATACAGTAAAGTACCAGTGATACAGTATAAAGTACCAGTGATACAGTATAAAGTACCAGTGATACAGTATAAAGTACCAGTGATACAGTGGAAAGTACCAGTGATACAGTGGAAAGTACCAGTGATACAGTAAAGTACCAGTGATACAGTAAAGTACCAGTGATACAGTAAAGTACCAGTGATACAGTAAAGTACCAGTGATACAGTAAAGTACCAGTGATACAGTAAAGTACCAGTGATACAGTAAAGTACCAGTGATACAGTGTAAAGTACCAGTGATACAGTAAAGTACCAGTGATACAGTAAAGTACCAGTGATACAGTATAAAGTACCAGTGATACAGTATAAAGTACCAGTGATACAGTAAAGTACCAGTGATACAGTATAAAGTACCAGTGATACAGTAAAGTACCAGGGCTACAGTAAAGTACCAGTGATACAGTAAAGTACCAGTGATACAGTAAAGTACCAGTGATACAGTAAAGTACCAGTGATACAGTAAAGTACCAGTGATACAGTAAAGTACCAGTGATACAGTAAAGTACCAGTGATACAGTAAAGTACCAGGGCTACAGTAAAGTACCAGTGATACAGTAAAGTACCAGTGATACAGTAAAGTACCAGTGATACAGTAAAGTACCAGGGCTACAGTGTAACTCAGAGCCCTTCAGTGTTTTGACTTTGATCCATTGTTGCTCAGGAAATGCAGCAGGTTTAACAAATGTCTGATGACAACACACAAAGTCTAAATGTTTGACAGTTTATCTCCACTGCCTTTCTGAACAATGTGTCCTTTAACATGATTATCAGATATTTAGTTTAAGTGTTTTGTTTTGACCCTTTGATGGTTTCCTCGACCTCTTTGAGTCAGTCCCTGTTTATATGTACAGTATGTTACTTACTCTGTGTCTCCTGCTCCTGTCCTGTCTGTGCGCTGCAACATTGACATTTCCCCACTGTGGCATGACTAAAGGATCTCTATCTTAATCATAATAATAATAATGTGACGTGTAAATGTCTCCTGTTTGAGATCAATAAAGTCTATCTTATCTTAATAATACATTTTATTTCTTAGGCGCCTTTTTTGACACTCAAGGTCGCCTTACAAGTAAAAAAGGTGCATTTTAAAAACAGTTAAATACAAAGTGAAAGCCTCATAGACAGAGGAGAGTGTGGTTGTGATGTTCGTGAGAGGCTCAGGTCTGAACACATGAGTCTGAGGTGGATTTCAAGAGTGGGAGTTGGTGTTACGGAGGTCAGGGGTCAGAGGTCAGGGCTCAGAGGGGAGAGGGTTCCAGAGCTGGGGAGCAGAGGCTGAAGACGCTACTCCCCATGGTGACCAGGAGGAGAGAGGAGGAGAGAGGAGGAGGAGGAGGGACCAGGAGGAGAGAGGAGGAGGAGGAGGAGGAGGAGGAGCGGAGGGACCAGGAGGAGGAGAGGAGGAGGAGGAGGAGGAGGAGGAGGAGCGGAGGGACCAGGAGGAGAGAGGAGGAGGAGGAGGAGGAGGAGGAGGAGCGGAGGGACCAGGAGGAGAGAGGAGGAGGAGGAGGAGGAGCGGAGGGACCAAGGAGGAGAGAGGAGGAGGAGGAGGAGTGGAGGGAGCAGGTGTGGAGGAGCTCAGTCAGTTATGGAGGAGCAAGGCTGTGGATGGCTTTGTATGTGAGGAGCAGGATTAGTATTGGATATGGAGAGTGATGGGGAGGCAGAGGAGGTGATGTGGTTGGTGGGGTGGGGGGGGGGTGAGGACAGGGGTGATGTGGTTGGTGGAGGGGGGGGGGTGAGGACAGGGGTGATGTGGTTGGTGGAGGGGGTGAGGACAGGGGTGATGTGGTTGGTGGAGGGGGTGAGGACAGGGGTGATGTGGTTGGTGGAGGGGGGGGGGGGGGTGGAGGACAGGGGTGATGTGGTTGGTGGGGGGGGTGATGTGGTTGGTGGAGGAGGGAGGGTGAGGACAGGGGTGATGTGGTTGGTGGAGGGGGGGGGGGTGAGGACAGGGGTGATGTGGTTGGTGGAGGGGGGGGAGGGTGAGGACAGGGGTGATGTGGTTGGTGGGGGGGGGGGTGAGGACAGGGGTGATGTGGTTGGTGGTGGGGGGGGGGTGAGGACAGGGGTGATGTGGTTGGTGGTGGGGGGGGTGAGGACAGGGGTGATGTGGTTGGTGGAGGGGGGGGTGAGGACAGGGGTGATGTGGTTGGTGGGGGGGGGTGAGGACAGGGGTGATGTGGTTGGTGGAGGGGGGGGGTGAGGACAGGGGTGATGTGGTTGGTGGAGGGGGGGGTGAGGACAGGGGTGATGTGGTTGGTGGAGGGGGGGTGAGGACAGGGGTGATGTGGTTGGTGGAGGGGGGGGAGGGTGAGGACAGGGGTGATGTGGTTGGTGGGGGGGGGTGAGGACAGGGGTGATGTGGTTGGTGGAGGGGGGGGGGTGAGGACAGGGGTGATGTGGTTGGTGGAGGGGGGGGGTGAGGACAGGGGTGATGTGGTTGGTGGAGGGGGGGGTGAGGACAGGGGTGATGTGGTTGGTGGAGGGGGGGTGAGGACAGGGGTGATGTGGTTGGTGGAGGGGGGGGAGGGTGAGGACAGGGGTGATGTGGTTGGTGGAGGGGGGGGGGTGAGGACTTTTATATCAAACTGCATCTCTTCCATTTGTAAAGGACTATAATAATAATAATTTTAAACCATGTTGTTATTTTTGCTTCTGCATCATAGAAAATCAAAAGTATAGAAAGTTACATTGTTTCTTGTAGGACTGAACATTAAAGGGATTTTTTTATGAAAAGTTCAATCTTACTGTGTTTTCTTAATTCAAATGTAAAATCCTAATATTCTGTCATGTGGAGGAAAAACACGGAGGACCCAGAAATGTGGATCTGCAAAAATATGGATTTAATAAAAACAATAGAAATGAGAATCCAGCGGAAACATCACAAAAATTAACCAAACCAGGAACAAGGACAAGAAACAGGCGCGGAATGACAACGATAGGGTTTAAACACACAACAGACACACACCAGGTGGTCGCACAACAGGCAGTGGGACAAAACAACACACAAGGGGTAATAATAAATAAAATTATCCATCCATCCATCCATCCATTTTCTTCCGCTTCATCCGTTGCCGGGTCGCGGGGGCAGCAGTCTAAGCAGAGACGCCCAGACTTCCCTATCCACACACACTTCCTCCAGCTCGTCCGACCCCGAGGCGTTCCCAGGCCAGCTGAGAGACATAGTCCCTCTGTGTCTTGGGTCTTCCGCGGGGCCTCCTCCCGGTGAGACGTGCCCGGAACACCTCCCCAGGGAGGCGTCCAGGAGGCGTCCGGAACAGATGCCCGTGCCACCTCAACTGGTTCCTCTCGACGTGGAGAAGCAGCGGCTCTACTCCGAGCTCTTCCCGTGTGACTGAGCTCCTCACCCTATCTCTAAGGGAGCAGCCACTCTGCGGAGGAAGCTCATTTCGACCGCTTGTATCCGCGATCTCGTTCTTTCGGTCATTACCCAAAGCTCATGACCATAGGTGAGGGAGGGAACGAAGATTGACCGGTAAATCGAGAGCTTTGCCTTTCGGCTCAGCTCCCTCTTTACCACAACGGTCTGATACAGCTCTGACTGCAGACGCTGCTCCCTCTTTACCACAACGGTCCGATACAGCGACCGCATCACTGCGCACGCTGCACCGATCCGCCTGTCAATCTCACGCTCCATTCTTCCCTCACTCGTGAACAAGACCCCGAGATACTTGAACCTCTCCACTTGAGGGAGGACCTCTCCACCCACCTGGAGAGGGCAAGGCACCTTTTTCCGGTCGAGCACCATGGCCTCGGATTTGGAGGTGCTGATTCTCATCCCAGCCGCTTCACACTCGGCTGCAAACCGTCCCAGTGCATGCTGCAGGTCCTGGTTCGTCGTCGTCCGCAAACAGCAGAGATGAAATCCTGTGGTCTCCGAACCGGACCCCCTCCGACCCCTGGCTGCGCCTAGATATTCTGTCCATAAATACAGTGAACAGAACTGGTGACAAAGGGCAGCCCTGGCGGAGGCCAACATTCACCGGGAACAGGTCTGACTTACTGCCGGCAATGCGAACACAGCTCTGGCTCCGGTCATACAGGGATCGGATGGCCCTCAGCAGAGGACCTCCGACCCCGTACTCCCGGAGAACCCCCCAAAGGACACTCCGGGGAACACAGTCGAACGCCTTCTCCAAATCCACAAAGCACATGTGGACTGAGGCGAACTCCCATGAACCCTCGAGTATCCGATGGAGAGTATAGAGCTGGTCCAGTGTTCCGCGACCGGGACGAAAACCACACTGCTCCTCCTGGATCCGAGATTTGACCATCGGCCGTAGCCTCCTCTCCAGTACCTTGGAGTAGACCTTACCGGGGAGGCTGAGGAGTGTGATCCCACGATAATTGGAACACACCCTCCGGTGCCCCTTCTTGTAGAGAGGGACCACCACCCCGGTCTGCCACTCCATTGGCACCGCCCCCGATCGCCACGCGATGTTGCAGAGACGTGTCAGCCAAGACAGTCCTACAACATCCAGAGACTTTAGATAATCAGGACGGACCTCATCCACACCCGGAGCCTTGCCACCATGGAGACTACCAACCACCTGGGTGACCTCAGCCAGGGAGATGGATGTATCCGCCCCAACATCCTCAGCCTCTGCCTCGGTAACAGAGGACGTGACGGGGGGATTGAGGAGAACCTCAAAGTATTCCTTCCACCGCCCGACAATATCCCCAGTCGAGGTCAGCAGCTCTCCACCCGCACCGTACATGGTGTTGGCAAAGAACTGCTTCCCCCTCCTGAGGCGCCGGATGGTTTGCCAGAATCTCTTCGAGGCCGACCGATAGTCATGCTCCATGGACTCTCCGAACTCCTCCCAGTCCCGGGTTTTTGCCTCTGCAACAGCCCGGGCCGCGGCACGCTTGGCCTGCCGGTACTGGACAGCTGCCTCAGGAGTCCCACAAACCATCATGGCTCGATAGAACTCCTTCTTCAGCCTGACAGCATCCCTTACTGCCGGTATCCACCACCGGGTTCGGGGGTTGCCGCCGGGACCAGCACCAGAGACCCTGCAACCACAACTACGAGCCGCCGCATCGGCGATTGAGGCAGATAACATGGTCCACTCGGACTCCATATCCCCCTCCTCCGCCGGGACCTGGGAGAAACTCTCCCGGAGGTGTGAGTTGAAAGTCCGTCTGACAGGGGGCTCAGCGAGACGTTCCCAGCAGACCCTCACTACACGCTTGGGTCTGCCAGGTCTGACCGGCTTCTTCCCCTGCCAGCGGATCCAACTCACGACCAGGTGATGATCGGTTGACCCGAGTGTCCGAGACATGCGGTCGAAGGTCAGATGATACGACAACAAAGTCGATCATCGACCTCCGGCCTAGGGTGTCCTGGTGCCACGTGCACTGGTGGACACCCTTGTGCTCGAACATGGTGTTCGTGATGGACAAACTGTGACTAGCACAGAAGTCCAACAACTGAACACCGCTCGGGTTCAGATCAGGGGGGCCGTTCTTCCCGATCACCCCTCTCCAAGTGTCACTGGCGTCCCCCACATGGGCGTTGAAGTCCCCCAGGAGAATAACGGAGTCCCCGGGCGGTGCACCGTCCAGTACCCCTCCCAAGGACTCCAAGAAGGCCGGGTACTCTGCACTGCTGTTAGGCCCGTAGGCCGTCACAACAATGAGAGACTTGTCCCCCACCCGGAGGCGAAGGGACGCAACCCTCTCATTCACCGGGGAGAACTCCAACACGTGGCGGCTGAGATGGGGGGCAATGAGAATGGCCACCCCAGCTCGCCGTCTCTCCCCGCGGGAGACTCCAGAAAAGTGGAGCGTCCAACCCCTCTCAAGGAGTTGGGTTCCAGAGCCCAAGCTGTGTGTGGAGGTGAGGCCGACTATCTCTAGTCGGTATCGCTCAACCTCCCCCACGAGCTCGGGCTCCTTCCCCCAGTGAGGTGACGTTCCACGTCCCAAGAGCCAGATGTTGTGTGTGTGGACTGGGTCGCCGAGGTCTCCGCCTTTGACTGCTGCCCAGTCCTCTCTGCACCGAGCCACCACGGACCCCTCTGCGGGTGGTGGGCCCACAGGAGGGACTGCCCACGTCATCCTTTTGGGCTGAGCCCGGCCGGGCCCCGTGGGCTAAGGCCCGGCCACCAGGCGCTCGCTTACGAGCCCCGACCCCAGGCCTGGCTCCAGGGTGGGGCCCCGGCTGCGCCATGCCGGGCGACGTCACTGTTGTCATATTTGTGCTGTCCATGGTGTCTTCTGGACTGCTCTTTGTCTGACTCGTCACCTGAGACCTGTCTGCCATGGGAGGCCCTACCAGGGGCATGAAGCCCCAGACAGCATAGCTCCCAGGATCATCCGAGTACTCAAACTCCCCCACCACGTTAAGGTGGCAGTCCAGGGGGGAGTAAATAAAATTAACCGGGAAAAAACCTTAAACCATAACTTTTCATCAAAAGTCAGAAATCACTTCAAATCAGTGTGTTCAGAAAAACGACCATAATCGAGAAAGTGTGTGTGATAAAACTTTAGTCAGGCTTTGTGCAAATGGTTTTGGGTGATTTATGTTGAAATGTTAGATTGTGATCCAGAGTGACAGGCTCCACAGGGACGTTTTGTGTCGCTAATGCCCCAAATATTAGCACCGTCATTTTCAACAATCCAGACCTGAGTGCAGCCCGCCGAGAACATGGCTTCAATTAACACACATTATGCTAAATACACTGTGTGTGTGTGTGTGTGTGTGTGTGACTGTGTGTGACTGTGTGTGTCTATGCCCATGTGTGTGCCTGTGTACGTCTGTGTGTGTCTGTGTGTCTCTGTGCCTGTGTATGTCTGTGTGTGTTTTTGACCGTGTGTGTGTGTCTTTCACCGTGTGTGTGACTGTGTGTGTCTTTGACCGTGTGTGTGCCTGTGTACGTCTGTGTGTGTCTGTGTGTCTCTGTGCCTGTGTATGTCTGTGTGTGTTTTTGACCGTGTGTGTGTCTGTGTGTCTCTGTGCCTGTGTATGTCTGTGTGTGTTTTTGACCGTGTGTGTGTCTGTGTGTCTCTGTGCCTGTGTGTGTCTGTGTGTGTCTTTGACCGTGTGTGTGTCTGTGTGTCTCTGTGCCTGTGTATGTCTGTGTGTGTCTTTGACCGTGTGTGTGTCTTTGACCGTGTGTGTGTCTTTGACTGTGTGTGTGACTGTGTGTGTCTCTGTGCAGGTGTCGGGCCGTGCCACTCTGGAGGGCAAAGGTCAGCTCAAGTTCTCTTCTGGAAAATGGAGTCCGCATCACAACTGCAGCCAGCTCGCCACCGCCAACGACACGAGCGTCCGCGGCTGGGACCTGCGCAGTATGAGGTCAGGGGTCTGAAGAACTCATTAGCCTAGATACACACACACGAGGGCCAGAGCTTCACCTCCAACTGTCCGGCTCTCTACGCCTGCGTTTTCAACCAGTGCCTTGGAAATGATTCAATCTCACCTGTTTGGTCCTAGCCTAGCATTAGCTTAGCATTAGCTTAGCATTATCCATGTGTATATCTGGTCCATGGTCATCTCCTACATGTACGTCTGGTCTTACCATGTGTAAACTCTGGTCCATGATCATCTCCTACATGTACGTCTGGTCTTACCATGTGTAAACTCTGGACCATGGTCATCTCCTACATGTACGTCTGGTCTTACCATGTGTAAACTCTGGTACATGATCATCTCCTACATGTACGTCTGGTCTTACCATGTGTAAACTCTGGACCATGATCATTTCCTACATGTACGTCTGGTCTTACCATGTGTAAACTCTGGTCCATGATCATCTCCTACATGTACGTCTGGTCTTACCATGTGTAAACTCTGGTCCATGATCATCTCCTACATGTACGTCTGGTCTTACCATGTGTAAACTCTGGTACATGATCATCTCCTACATGTACGTCTGGTCTTACCATGTGTAAACTCTGGACCATGATCATTTCCTACATGTACGTCTGGTCTTACCATGTGTAAACTCTGGTCCATGATCATCTCCTACATGTACGTCTGGTCTTACCATGTGTAAACTCTGGTCCATGATCATCTCCTACATGTACGTCTGGTCTTACCATGTGTAAACTCTGGTCCATGATCATCTCCTACATGTACGTCTGGTCTTACCATGTGTAAACTCTGGTCCATGGTCATTTCCTACATGTACGTCTGGTCTTACCATGTGTAAACTCTGGTCCATGATCATCTCCTACATGTACGTCTGGTCTTACCATGTGTGAACTCCTGTTGCTTCGTTTTTTGCTGGTGTGTTGCTGGTCTTTAGCTGGTGTGTTGCTGGTCTTTAGCTGGTGTGTTGCTGGTCTTTAGCTAGTGTGTTGCTGGTCTTTAGCTGGTGTGTTGCTGGTCTTTAGCTGGTGTGTTGCTGGTCTTTAGCTGGTGTGTTGCTGGTCTTTAGCTGGTGTGTTGCTGGTCTTTAGCTGGTGTGTTGCTGGTCTTTAGCTGGTGTGTTGCTGGTGTGCAGCTGGTGGTAAGAACGCAACCTCAGTCTTTGGATTAGTGCTGGTTTGGGATGTGAACAAAAAACCATCTACACAAAATATACACTGCAAAAAGTGATCAAAAACCAGTTGAATCTGAACATTTTCTGACTGAGCCTTAAAACAAGATTCTCCAACGGGACACAGCTGCATTATCTTGTTTCTAAAAGATACAGAAATATTTCTTTTGGAATCAGAAAATAAAGCAACAGTTTTTGAAATAAATGTTTTTTATTTATTTTTTCAACTGAATGACGTTTTATTTTGGTTACAAACAAATCAAAATATCTAATAATGTCTATTTTTTGTTGCTAATAAAGAAGAAAACCAGAAAAGGTGCTGCTGAAGCCGTGGCTCATGATGCTAACCCGATTAACAAGATAAATACATAAAACACTTAAATGTTTTCCTCATATTCTGTATCATTTTTTGCAGTGTACCAGCCTTGTCTTTTTGCCTTAAAGAATACATCGGCCCAAAATACAAGTCATTTTCTGGTTGAAACGTGTATTTGGAATGACTATAATTCAGACGGACGGCTCTTCACTCCTAAGTCTCTTCTCTTCTTTCTTCGATTTTATTTTTGTGAAATTCAGCCGGGTGTGGCGTCTCCGGTTGATGAAACCACACGGGTTCTCTGATACACGGCTTCCATACTGAACAGTGCCAGGAAAGAGAATTTTAAGACCGTGTTGCACCAGGATTCAGGATTCAGAAAGAACGGCGTGGGGCTTGTTTTGGCCACGCTTTGCCACTCAGAATTATCTTTGAACACGGCTCATGTGCTGCTCCTACCTGCAGCAGGTTCAGACTGACAGCCCTGACTCACGCTCTCTGCCGCTTCAAATGAGAGAGATTAGCCATTTCAATGTGTTTATATTATGCAATTACACCTGGATTTAGCGCTCCAGCGGCGCCCGTATTCTGACACGTATTAAAAACTCTGATTTGAAATGAGTTGGATCACAAGACAGATGTAAGAAACACGTCTGGGAGGTTCAGAGACGGCCTTTTCTTTGCCTTTTCATTGGAAGTGATTCATTTGTGGCTTCGGTCGTATTCGGTCAGGGTCACTGATTGTAGTCTGCTGTTGAAGGGAGAGATGGACCAGACAGTTCCATCAGAATTAGCACAAAATTATACTTTAAAGGCCTAAAAGAAAAGTGGGAAAAGGCAAATTAATGATGATATTTATATTCAATTAATTTTATTTTTGAAAGAATGATCCTCAGGGCAACACAGAGGCATTAAAACCTAATCGTTATCTGCTCCTTTTGACAATTGTGCTGTTAATTGTGAAACAACGCCATCAATTTATATATTTTTTATAATTTTATGAAGCCAGGAAAACATTAGTCTGGTCGTACCACACCATGGTACTCATTTCATTTGGTACTAAGGTCTGGAGGTGCTCCATTGACTCCGTTAACAGGTGGGAGGGGCTAACTCCTTTTACAGATTGAAACCAATGGATCTGAGTTTACTGTGACGTACGTAATGAGCCCGAGTGAGTGAGGCATTTAGCCTTTAGCCTAGCTTTAGCATGTAGCCTAGCTTTAGCCATCTCCTTTGCCACTAACGGAGCCCGTGGGGAGTAGAGCCACAATTTTTGCAGTGATTACATTTGTTAAACATTCCTCTTGCTCCAGCTTCAGTTTCTTGACAGAACCAGACCAGAATACTTTACGATCGCATTCTTCGCCAAACTACAACCTGCTCGTTTGGCGCAAACTCTTGACGTCGCCCACATCTAACTACAACACCCGCCTTCCGCGCTCTCTCAGAATCAGAATCATTTTTATTGCCACGTAAGTAACAGAAGTCACAGACTTGGAAATTGCTTTGGCTCAGTGCAACAGTCAGAAAGAGATCATAAAAATAAGAATAAAAAACACTGCTAAGGAATAAATTTAAATCTAAAATAGAGTTACAGTTACTATTTACAATATACAAGTGCACATGGTGCACACAATGTAAGGTGACAGCAGTACAGTGAAGTAAAGTGACGTATGATGGGCAGTAAAGTGACTTTATAAAGGGCGGGGACAGGTTAAGAAGTGTTCAAGAGTCCAACAGCAGAGGGGAAGAAACTGTTCTTGTGGCGGGAGGTTCTAGTCCTGATGGACCGCAGCCTCCTGCCTGAGGGGAGTGGTTGGAATAGTCCATGTGCAGGTGAGAGGGGAGTGGTTGGAATAGTCCATGTGCAGGTGAGAGGGGAGTGGTTGGAATAGTCCATGTGCAGGTGAGAGGGGAGTGGTTGGAATAGTCCATGTGCAGGTGAGAGGGGAGTGGTTGGAATAGTCCATGTGTGCAGGTGAGAGGGGAGTGGTTGGAATAGTCCATGTGCAGGTGAGAGGGGAGTGGTTGGAATAGTCCATGTGCAGGTGAGAGGGGAGTGGTTGGAATAGTCCATGTGCAGGTGAGAGGGGAGTGGTTGGAATAGTCCATGTGCAGGTGAGAGGGGAGTGGTTGGAATAGTCCATGTGCAGGTGAGAGGGGTCGGCTGTGATACGACCAGCCCGGCCTCGAGCTCGGGCGACGTGCAGGTCCTGCAGCGATGGAAGGCTGCGGCCGATCACTTCCTCTGCAGAGCGCACAATGCGCTGTAGTCTCTGTTTGTCCTTGACTGTGGCTCCAGCGAACCACACGGTGATGGAGGAGGTGGTGGAGGAGGTGATGGAGGAGGTGATGGAGGAGGTGATGGAGGAGGTGATGGAGGAGGTGATGGAGGAGGTGATGGAGGAGGTGATGGAGGAGGAGATGGAGGAGGTGATGGAGGAGGTGATGAGGAGGTGATGGAGGAGGTGATGGAGGAGGTGATGAGGAGGTGATGAGGAGGTGATGGAGGAGGTGATGGAGGAGGTGATGGAGGAGGTGATGGAGGAGGTGATGAGGAGGTGATGGAGGAGGTGATGGAGGAGGTGATGAGGAGGTGATGGAGGAGGTGATGGAGGAGGTGATGGAGGAGGTGATGGAGGAGATGGTGGAGGAGGTGATGGAGGAGGTGATGGAGGAGGTGATGGAGGAGGTGATGGAGGAGGTGATGGAGGAGGTGATGGAGGAGGTGATGGAGGAGGTGAGGATGGACTCGATGATGGCCGTGTAGAACTGCAGCTTGGCTTTCCTGAGCTGCCGCAGGAAGTACATCCTCTGCTGGGCCTTCTTGATGAGGAGCTGATGGTCGGCTCCCACTTGAGGTCCTGGTGATGGTGGTGCCCAGGAAACGGAAGGACTCCACAGAGGTGATGGGGGAGTCCATCACGGAGGGTGGGGGCGGGGGGACAGTGCTCTTCCTGAAGTCCACAATCATCTCCACTGTCTTCTGGGCGTTCAGCTCCAGGTTGTTACCACTGCACCAGGACACCAGCCGGTCCACCTCCCTCCTGTAGGAGACACCAGGACACCAGCCGGTCCACCTCCCTCCTGTAGGAGACACCAGGACACCAGCCGGTCCACCTCCCTCCTGTAGGAGACACCAGGACACCAGCCGGTCCACCTCCCTCCTGTAGGAGACACCAGGACACCAGCCGGTCCACCTCCCTCCTGTAGGAGACACCAGGACACCAGCCGGTCCACCTCCCTCCTGTAGGAGACACCAGGACACCAGCCGGTCCACCTCCCTCCTGTAGGAGACACCAGGACACCAGCCGGTCCACCTCCCTCCTGTAGGAGACACCAGGACACCAGCCGGTCCACCTCCCTCCTGTAGGAGACACCAGGACACCAGCCGGTCCACCTCCCTCCTGTAGGCGACACCAGGACACCAGCCGGTCCACCTCCCTCCTGTAGGAGACACCAGGACACCAGCCGGTCCACCTCCCTCCTGTAGGAGACACCAGGACACCAGCCGGTCCACCTCCCTCCTGTAGGAGACACCAGGACACCAGCCGGTCCACCTCCCTCCTGTAGGAGACACCAGGACACCAGCCGGTCCACCTCCCTCCTGTAGGAGACACCAGGACACCCAGCCGGTCCACCTCCCTCCTGTAGGAGACACCAGGACACCAGCCGGTCCACCTCCCTCCTGTAGGAGACATCAGGACACCAGCCGGTCCACCTCCCTCCTGTAGGAGACACCAGGACACCAGCCGGTCCACCTCCCTCCTGTAGGAGACACCAGGACACCAGCCGGTCCACCTCCCTCCTGTAGGAGACACCAGGACACCAGCCGGTCCACCTCCCTCCTGTAGGAGACACCAGGACACCAGCCGGTCCACCTCCCTCCTGTAGGAGACACCAGGACACCAGCCGGTCCACCTCCCTCCTGTAGGAGACACCAGGACACCAGCCGGTCCACCTCCCTCCTGTAGGAGACACCAGGACACCAGCCGGTCCACCTCCCTCCTGTAGGAGACACCAGGACACCAGCCGGTCCACCTCCCTCCTGTAGGAGACATCAGGACACCAGCCGGTCCACCTCCCTCCTGTAGGAGACACCAGGACACCAGCCGGTCCACCTCCCTCCTGTAGGCGACACCAGGACACCAGCCGGTCCACCTCCCTCCTGTAGGAGACACCAGGACACCAGCCGGTCCACCTCCCTCCTGTAGGCGGACTCATCGTTGTTGGAGATGAGTCCAATGAGGGTGGTGTCGTCCGCGAACTTGATCAGCTTCACGGAGTCGTGGCTGGAGGTGCAGTGGGAGGAGGTGCAGTGGTTGGTGTACAGGGAGAAGAGCAGGGGAGAAAGAACACAGCCCTGTGGGGCTCCTGTATTTATAATCCGAGAGTCCGAGACATTCTTCCCCAGACGCACTCGCTGCTTCCTGTCCGTCAGGAAGTCAGTGATCCACCTGCAGGTGGAATCGGGCACGTTGAGCTGGGAGAGCTTGTCCTGGAGCAGGGATGGCAGGATTGTGTTGAAGGCAGAGCTGAAGTCCACGAACAGGACCCTGGCGTAGGTCCCCGGGGAGTCCAGGTGCTGTAGGATGTGGTGGAGGGCCAGGTTAATGGCGTTGTCTACAGATCTGTTGGCTCTGTAGGCGAACTGCAGGGGGTCCTGATTGGTCGGATGGAATTGAACAGATTGTAATCACAACCACAGGGACCAGGCCCAGACGTTACATGCAGGACATGATGATGGACCTGAGGGTACGGATGGATAACATTTGACACACAATTTGCCAACTTCTGTAAGACCTCTGTAAGGGGACGGAAGTCTGTATTTTCTCCCTTGTTATTATAATTTTCTCAGTTTTTTATCCAGACTTTTGGTCCTCCCACGTGTCAATCATTCTGGTGTTACGTGTCCAATAAGACCTGAGAGTTTTGTTCAAAATGTAGAAATCCTCCGATATACTTTAATAATTATCCACTGACTCTAAAATGCACAGTTATGTTATTATCATACTAATACATCATGTGGTTTTTGGGCTTTTTCCCATTTCTTTGTGGAGATGTTGATGGAGGATCCTGAAGAGCAGACGTGTCTCTGTTATGACACGTTTCACAGGCACTCGAGGTCCGTCCATGATTCTAATCAAGTGTTTGTCTGTTCGTGATGAAGTGCCGCGGCCCATCACTCCTCCCCGTCACAAAGCACGTGTAGAAGCAGACATTAACCTCCGAGAGCAGGTTACCCCCCCCCATCACCTCTGTCTGCCTTTCTGTGTGTGCTTCGGAGCTATACGTGGTCAGCGAGCTCGGTGTGTGCATGCGTGTGCTGTGCTTGAGGAATAATAATCACCCAACTATCGATCGCTTGTGATAACGGCAAAGTGGTGGAGAGATTGAGCTGGGTGAGAGGAGAGAGGGGGGGAGAGAGAGAGAGGGAGAGGGGGGAGCGAAAGAATATATTTACAAGATGCGTATCACAGCAGCCTCAGATAAGACGGTTGAATCATTGATACCGCGGCCTGTCAGAGCCATAACAAATTAAAGAGTTCCTGAGAGCTCCCATTTTGGCCGTTCTTCTCCCGCTGTGCAGTTTTTTTGTAAGATGCAACAGTGCTGATTTGGCCGTGGGCGCTTCTAAAGAGGAGGGAGGAGGGGGGAGGGATGTGGGAGAGAGGGGGGAGGCGAACGGCTTGTTAGCAACTCTACACATGAACCTCTGCTTTCATAGAGGAAAACACCACAGTCGTATTTGAAGAGTTGGAGCCAGTGCGATCATTACACGTGACCACAGTGATACACATGCAGCTTATTTTACTGTCGGTTTAGTCTTTGAAGAAAAAAACAAAGTCTGGGGTCGTGACGGACAGAAGACATGTTTTTATTGTCGATGGTGGAAACGAGACATGATCAAAGATTGAACGAATGAATACTTTATATTGAGCCATGGTAAAGAAGAACAACAACACAACAAAACAATACATGATAATATACAAATATACAGAATGTTTTTAATTAACACAAATCCAACTGGAAAGGGAGTGGGAAGAACTTAAGACCTTTAAACTCCCACCCCTTACTTATTATTCTTATTTAATTTAACTTGATTCACAGAATGCATGTGACATTAGATGGCTAAAGCTAGGCTAAGTGCTAAAGCTAAACGTCACGCTAAACCCAGATCCAGATCCAATGGAAATGAGTACAATGGTGTGGTACGACCAGGCGAACACAAAACATACTTTATAGAGTTTGTCCGCACAGACTGGAATGAACCAAAGCATCAGGTAACCTTGGCTGTTGGGTTGAGACATTCTTTGCCCTTGTGATTGTAAATACTGACCTCTTGGACCTGTGAGTTCGTGCGGCGTGTGTCAAATATGTCTTTTATTAGCACATCAAGCTAACTGTGATTATTTACTCCCGCCCACCCGCTGAGAGGAGCCATGGTAACAGACATCCTGACGCTCCGCTCTCGTGGCACTGATTGCTGTAAGGTTTAGGCTCAGACAGAAAATAGCAGATGAGAGATGCCTTTTTAAATGTTGTAGAATATCTGTTACGCTGAGCTGGCCTTGGGGAGAGGGGCTGCTTCTGCCTCTTGTTGTTGCAGCAGTAACTGGAGGAATCCTTGAGTTTTGGTGCAAGGTTTTAGAAGAGGTTTAATAATCACACACATACATACAATCACACACATATACATACAATCATACACACATACATACAATCACACACACATACATACAATCACACACACATATACATACAATCATACACATATACATACAATCACACACATATACATACAATCATACACACATACATACAATCACACACACATACATACAATCACACACACATATACATACAATCATACACATATACATACAATCACACACACATACATACAATCACACACACATATACATACAATCATACACATATACATACAATCACACACATATACATACAATCATACACACATACATACAATCATACACACATACATACAATTATACACGTATACATACAATCATACACACATACATACAATCATACACATATACATACAATTATACACGTATACATACAATCACACACACATATACATACAATCACACACATACACATACAATCACACATATACATACAATCATACACATATACATACAATCACACACATATACATACAATCATACACACATACATACAATCACACACATACACATACAATCACACACATACATACAATCACACACATATACATACAATCATACACATACAATCACACACAGATACATACAATCATACACATACAATCGCACACATATACATACAATCATACACATATACATACAATCACACACATACATATACATACAATCACACACATATACATACAATCATACATATACACATACAATCATACATATACACATACAATCATATACATACAATCACACACATATACATACAATCATACACATATACATACAATCATACACATATACATACAATCATACACATATACATACAATCACACACATATACATACAATCACGCACATACACATACAATCACACACATACATACAATCATACACGTATACATACAATCACACACATATACATACAATCACACACATACACATACAATCACACATATACATACAATCATACACATATACATACAATCACACACATATACGTACAATCATATACACATACATACAACCATACACATATACATACAATCATACACATATACATACAATCATACACATATACATACAATCATACACACATACATACTAGGGCTGGGCAATAAATCGAATTTAGGCAATTAATCGGCTTTTGAAAAAATGGAATTATTGAAAAATGTGAAAATTGTGAAATCGAATGAAGGACATTGTGAGCATTCCAGCAGCACATGAACTATACTTGCAATATCAGCACAGTCTGTACAAGACTTTTATAATATGTATTGAGGGAAACAAAATAAAAATGGTTTTGAAACTTGATTATTGAGCGGAAAGATCAAAAAATATTTTTAAGGGCAAACTTTGATGAAAATCGATTTAAAATCGAAATCGTCCAAAGCAGGAAATAAAATTGAGATGTTACTTTTTTGCCATATCGCCCAGCTCTAATACATACAATCACAAACGCATACATACAATCATACACATACACATACAATCACACACATACAGTGCCTTGCGAAAGTATTCGGCCCCCTTGAACCTTTCAACATTTCGCCACATTTCAGGCTTCAAACATAAAGATATAAAATTTTAATTTTTTGTCATGAATCAACAACAAGTGGGACACAATCGTGAAGTGGAACGAAATTTATTGGATAATTTGAACTTTTTTAACAAATAAAAAACTGAAAAGTGGGGCGTGCAATATTATTGGTCCCCTTTACTTTCAGTGCAGCAAACTCAGTCCAGAAGTTCAGTGAGGATCTTTGAATGATCCAATGTTGTCCTAAATGACTGATGATGATAAATAGAATGCACCTGTGTGTAATCAAGTCTCCGTATAAATGCACCTGCTCTTTGATAGTCTCAGGGTTCTGTTTAAAGCCCAGAGAGAACCATGAAGACAAAGGAACACACCAGGCAGGTCCGAGATACTGTTGTGGAGAAGTTTAAAGCCGGATTTGGATACAAAAAGATTTCCCAAGCTTTAAACATCTCAAGGAGCAATGTGCAAGCAATTATATTGAAATGGAAGGAGTATCAGACCACTGCAAATCTACCAAGACCCGGCCGTCCCTCCAAACTTTCATCTCAAACAAGGAGAAGACTGATCAGAGATGCAGCCAAGAGGCCCATGATCACTCTGGATGAACTGCAGATAACTACAGCTGAGGTGGGAGAGTCTGTCCATAGGACAACAATCAGTCGTGCACTGCACAAATCTGGCCTTTATGGAAGAGTGGCAAGAAGAAAGCCATTTCTCAAAGATATCCATAAAAAGTCTGGTTTAAAGTTTGCCACAAGCCACCTGGAAGACACACCAAACATGTGGAAGAAGGTGCTCTGGTCAGATGGAACCAAAATCAAACTTTTTGGCCACAATGCAAAACGATATGTTTGGCATAAAAGCAACACAGCTCATCACCCTGAACACACCATCCCCACTGTCAAACATGGTGGTGGCAGCATCATGCTTTGGGCCTGCTTTTCTTCAGCAGGGACAGGGAAGATGGCTAAAATTGATGGGAAGATGGATGGAGCCAAATACAGGACCATTCTGGAAGAAAACCTGTTGGAGTCTGCAAAAGACCTGAGACTGGGACGGAGATTTATCTTCCAACAGGACAATGATCCAAAACATAAAGCCAAATCTACAATGGAATGGTTCAAATAAATGGGCGGCACGGTGGCTGAGTGGATAGCACTCTCGCCTCTCAGCAAGAAGGTCCTGGGTTCGAATCCCGGTCGGACCAGGGCCTTTCTGAGTGGAGTTTGCATGTTCTCCCCGTGTCTGCGTAGGTTTCCTCCGGGTACTCCGGTTTCCCCTACCACTAAAAATATGTCCAATAGTTCTGGCATGTGCCTCCTGTACTGGCCCCGCTCCCATCTCTGTGTGGAGTGAGAGACAAGTGCCCAAAAAAAATAACAATTGTAAACCGCTTTGAGACTCAGCTCTGCAGTGAAAAGGCGGTATATAAATAATTACATAGATACATAGATAGATAGACGTATCCAGGTGTTAGAATGGCCAAGTCAAAGTCCAGACCTGAATCCAATCCAGAATCTGTGGAAAGAGCTGAAGACTGCTGTTCACAAACGCTCTCCATCCAACCTCACTGAGCTCCAGCTGTTTTGCAAGGAAGAATGGGAAAGAATTCCAGTCTCTCGATGTGCAAAACTGATAGAGACATACCCCAAGCGACTTGCAGCTGTAATTGCAGCAAAAGGTGGCACTACAAAGTATTAGCGCAAGGGGCCGAATACTATTGCACGCCCCACTTTTCAGTTTTTATTTGTTAAAAAAGTTTAAATTATCCAATGAATTTCGTTCCACTTCACGATTATGTCCCACTTGTTGTTGATTCTTGACAAAAAAAAATATTTTTATATCTTTATGTTTGAAGCCTGAAATGTGGCGAAATGTTGAAAGGAGGGGGCCGAATACTTTTGCAAGGCACTGTACATACAATCATATACACATACATACAATCATACACATATACATGCAATCATACACATATACATACAATCATACACACATACATACAATCATACACACATACATACAATCATACACACATACATACAATCATACACACATACATACAATCATACACATATACATACAATCATACACATATACATACAATCATACACACATACATACAATCATACACACATACATACAATCATACACATATACATACAATCATACACACATACATACAATCATACACATATACATACAATCATACACACATACATACAATCATACACATATACAGCCATGCCTATACTATATAAACTGAATAAACAAATAGTAATAATTTTGATATAATTTGTCCTATTTTTACAAAGAAGAAGTCAGTGTAAAAAACCGTGGCCTCGTGCAGTGGGTCTGGGCCTCAGTGATGTGGGTCTGGGCCTCAGTGATGTGGGTCTGGGCCTCAGTAATGTGGGTCTGGGCCTCAGTAATGTGGGTCTGGGCCTCAGTGATGTGAGTCTGGGCCTCAGTGATGTGAGTCTGGGCCTCAGTGATGTGGGTCTGGGCCTCAGTGATGTGAGTCTGGGCCTCAGTGATGTGGGTCTGGGCCTCAGTGATGTGAGTCTGGGCCTCAGTGATGTGGGTCTGGGCCTCAGTGATGTGGGTCTGGGCCTCAGTGATGTGGGTCTGGGCCTCAGTGATGTGAGTCTGGGCCTCAGTGATGTGGGTCTGGGCCTCAGTGATGTGAGTCTGGGCCTCAGTGATGTGAGTCTGGGCCTCAGTGATGTGGGTCTGGGCCTCAGTGATGTAGGTCTGGGCCTCAGTGATGTGGGTCTGGGCCTCAGTGATGTGAGTCTGGGCCTCAGTGATGTGAGTCTGGGCCTCAGTGATGTGAGTCTGGGCCTCAGTGATGTAGGTCTGGGCCTCAGTGATGTGGGTCTGGGCCTCAGTGATGTGAGTCTGGGCCTCAGTGATGTGGGTCTGGGCCTCAGTGATGTGAGTCTGGGCCTCAGTGATGTGAGTCTGGGCCTCAGTGATGTGGGTCTGGGCCTCAGTGATGTGAGTCTGGGCCTCAGTGATGTGAGTCTGGGCCTCAGTGATGTGAGTCTGGGCCTCAGTGATGTGGGTCTGGGCCTCAGTGATGTGAGTCTGGGCCTCAGTGATGTGAGTCTGGGCCTCAGTGATGTGAGTCTGGGCCTCAGTGATGTGGGTCTGGGCCTCAGTGATATAAGTCTGGGCCTCAGTGATGTGAGTCTGGGCCTCAGTGATGTGGGTCTGGGCCTCAGTGATGTGGGTCTGGGCCTCAGTGATGTGGGTCTGGACCTCGTTTTGTGAGTCTGGGCCTCAGTGATGTGGGTCTGGGCCTCAGTGATGTAGGTCTGGGCCTCAGTGATGTACGTCCTCTGAGCTGTGGTCCAGTTGGTGCAGCAGCTGTGTCATGGCAGCATCTCCATCCGCTCCACTGCCTCCACACACACACACACACAAAGAGACACACAGACAGACACACACACACACAGACAGACACACACACACACAGACAAACACACACACACACAGACAGACACACACACACACAGAGACACACACACACACGCATACGCACACTTGCGCACACACACACAAAGACACACACACACAGAGGCTCACAGAGACACACACCCACACACACAGAGACACACACCCACACACACAGACACACACACCCACACACACAGAGACACAGAGACACACACACACACACACACAGAGACACACACACACACAGATACACACACACACATACACACACAGACACACACACACACAGATACATACACACACACACACACACATACACACAGAGACACACACACACACACACACACACACACACAGAGACACACACACACACACACACACACACACACACACACACAGAGACACACACACACATAGCCTACAGTGTGTACCTCAGGTTGAGCCCCTGTTCTCGCCCAGAGCTAGTTTTCCAAACCCAGAGAGAAGCCTCTGACTCTGGAAACACAAAGATAAGTGTGCGTCAGAAACATACGAAGCCTGTTCTACTTTGTTCTGATGTAATATGCAACATTATGTAAATTATAGAAAAGTCGGCGCAGATTTTGGGGACAGAAAACCACTTTTAGAAAGAATCCGACACATTTCAACGACTTAGTTTTTTACGTACCTTTTGGCGTTGCATTATTTACTTCTTCCCAGAAGCACCGGATTTTAAGGCAGGGTTTATTTTATTTATGTTTTTAAAAGGTCATAATTTACTACTGTATATACTAATACTACTCTATATACTGTATATACTAATACTACTCTATATACTGTATATACTAATACTACTGTATATACTAATACTACTATATATACTAATACTACTGTATATACTGTATACACTAATACTACTGTATATACTAATACTACTGTATATACTGTATATACTAATACTACTCTATATACTGTATATACTAATACTACTGTATATACTAATACTACTGTATATACTGTATATACTAATACTACTGTATATACTGTATATACTAATACTACTGTATATACTAATACTACTGTATATACTAATACTACTCTATATACTATATATACTAATACTACTGTATATACTAATACTGCTGTATGTACTGTATATACTAATACTACTGTATATACTAATACTACTGTATATACTGTATATACTAATACTACTATATATACTAATACTACTATATATACTAATACTACTGTATATACTAATACTACTATATATACTAATACTACTGTATATACTGTATATACTAATACTACTCTATATACTAATACTACTCTATATACTAATACTACTGTATATACTGTATATATTAATACTACTGTATATACTGATACTGCTGTATATACTGTATATACTGATACTGCTGTATATACTGTATATACTAATACTACTGTATATACTAATACTACTGTATATACTAATATCAATCAATCAATCAATCTTTATTTATAGGGCGCTTTTCCTGCACAGGGCAACACAAAGCGCCTCACAGTCCACACCACACAATGCACAAATCATCACCATTAAAATACAATTAAAAAACACATATGTAATTAAAAAGCATTAAAATCACATAAGTAATTTAAAAACATAAGAATCACACAAGTAATTAAAAACAATAAAATAGTTAAAAACACAAAAAGTTACAACAATAAATAACAAGGTGTGTTAAAAAGATAAAATTCTCTAGTTGTATGCACGGGAAAAAAGAAAAGTCTTTAACATGGATTTGAACATTGACAGAGAGGCAGCCAGTCTCACATCCTCAGGAAGACTGTTCCAGACTTTAGCTGCATAAATCTGAAAAGCAGCCTCCCCCTGTCTAGTCCTGACTCTGGGCACTAACAGGAGTCCCGTCCCTGCGCTCCTCAGAGTCCGGGCTGGTTCATATGGGACTAGCATATCATGGATGTACTTTGGTGCAAGGCCATGGAGAGACTTGTACACCAGGAGACCTGCTTTAAAGTCTATCCTCTGGGCCACGGGAAGCCAGTGCAGAGACCTGAGGACCGGACTAATGTGGTCGTACTTCCTGGTTCTAGTCAGGACTCGGGCTGCAGCATTTTGAATATACTGCAGCTGTTTTACTGCATGTTTGGAGATACCTGTGAGCAGGCCATTGCAGTAATCCAGCCTACTGGAAACAAAAGAATGGATAAGAATCTCCAAGTCTGCCCTGGACACAATATTTTTAATTTTGGCAATATTTTTCAGATGATAAAAAGCTGCTGATGTTACCGATCCAATGTGGCTATTGAAGTTTAAGTCAGAGTCCATTATTACTCCCAGATTTCTGACCTTATTTAAAGGCCTTAGGGAGAGAGACTGAAGGTGACAAATGACGGTCTCTCTTTGTTTCTCGGGACCAAAGACAATCATTTCGGTTTTGTCCGCATTTAGCTGGAGAAAATTGCATTGCATCCACTCACTGATCCGCTGGATACAGCGAAGGAGTGAGTCCACCGGCCCATGCTCTCCTGCAGTCAGTGAGACATAGATCTGAGTGTCATCAGCGTAATTGTGGTAGGACACTTTCATACTTTGAATTAACTGACCTAATGGCAGCATGTAAATATTGAACAGGAGAGGTCCCAGAATCGACCCCTGTGGCACTCCGCAGGTCAGGGCCATATTATCTGAGACATAGTCTCCAATCTCCACACAATACTTCCTTTCTTCTAGATAGGACCTAAACCAGCTTAGGGCGGTACCAGCAACACCAACCCAGTCCTCCAGTCTCTGCATGAGAATCTCATGGTCAACGGTGTCGAAAGCGGCACTCAGATCTAACATGACTAAAACAGAGACTTTTCCTGCATCAGTGTTAAGCCGAATATCATTTGTTACCTTGACTAGAGCGGTCTCAGTACTGTGGTGTGGTCTAAAGCCAGACTGAAACATGTCAAATGAGTCATTAGATATTAAAAATTCAGTAAGTTGTTGGTAGGCAACTTTTTCAAGAATTTTTCCCATGAAAGGCAGATTTGAGATGGGACGGTAATTTTCAAGTACCGCAGCATCCAAACTGCTCTTTTTTAGGAGGGGCCTAATGACTGCCTTTTTCAGGGCCATTGGAAATGTTCCAGATAAAAAAGACATGTTTACTATTTGTGTCAATGAGGGTAATAGACTACACATAACAGACTTCAGAAATCTAGGAGGTAGTACATCCAGACTGCAGGTAGAGGAACTAAGACCTGTGATTATCTTTTTAACAGTTTCATCATTGACAGGTGCAAATTGAGCTAGCTCACAAAGCCTCACTGGATGTTGCATTGTTACTTGTGCTGTGGAGGTGATGGCATTTCTGATACCCTGAACCTTGTCTCTGAAGAACTGTGCAAACTCATTACACCTGGATTTGGAGTAGTGTTCTAATGGCAACTCAACAGGGGGGTTCGTTAATCTATTGATTGTTGAAAATAGAACACGCAGATTGTTGCTGCAGCCTTCAATAGTTTCAGAAAAGTATAATTCTCTTGTTCTACGTAGTACTCTGTTAAACTCACACAACTTCTCTTTTAAGAGTCTATAATCACCCTGGAGGTTGGACTTTCTCCATTTTCTCCACTAATACTACTGTATATACTGATACTGCTGTATATACTGTATATACTAATACTACTGTATATACTGTATATACTAATACTACTGTATATACTGATACTGCTGTATATACTGTATATACTAATACTACTGTATATACTAATACTACTGTATATACTGTATATACTAATACTACTGTATATACTGTATATACTAATACTACTGTATATACTGATACTACTCTATATACTGTATATACTAATACTACTGTATATACTAATACTACTGTATATACTAATACTACTGTATATACAGTATATACTAATACTACTGTATATACAGTATATACTAATACTACTGTATATACAGTATATACTAATACTACTGTATATACAGCATTATACTATACTATATATTATATATATATATATATTTACACCAATTCAATGATGTTTATAGAGTCCTTTACAACACTGAAGGCGACCAAAGTGCTTTATAATAAAACCACATCAAATCTATTAAAACATTCTTATAACAGTTAAAAAGTATTTAAAAAGTGCCACTGCAGTAATGAGTGTTAAAAGTATTATAAGTCTGAATAATTAAGTTTTGAGCCTGGATTTAAAAAGGCCAAAGTCGATGTTAGAGCTTATATCAGGGACTGTGTGTTCCAGAGTCTGGGTCCAGGACTGAGACCGGTCCCAGTGTTTGGACCTGGTCCTGGTCCTTCCAAAAGGAGCTGAAACAGTTTGAACAATACCAGAGAGCGAGACCAGAGAGCGAGACCAGAGAGCGAGACCAGAGAGCGAGACCAGAGAGCGAGACCAGAGAGCGAGACCAGAGAGCGAGACCAGAGAGCGAGACCAGAGAGCGAGACCAGAGAGCGAGACCAGAGAGCGAGACCAGAGAGCGAGACCAGAGAGCGAGACCAGAGAGCGAGACCAGAGAGCGAGACCAGAGAGCGAGACCAGAGAGCGAGACCAGAGAGCGAGACCAGATTGTTAACTTCAGTGATCCTCCTGCAGGTGGGGGGTCCACGGAGAATGGACACAGCCTTGATCTTTCAGCGGGGGCTTCAGGCAAAGTGGAGCTAAGTGTCTTGCCCAGGGACATGGGTTGTGGCCATAGACTGTAAATATTAACGGACGTAGTCCCGCCTATCTCCGCCGTTCTAACTAATGGGCCAAAAATAGTGCTCTACTGGAGCTATCCAAAATGGCCGCGAGTGGTC